GAGGGAAAGAAAAGGATTCCATGACAAAATTGTGTAAACTGAAAAAAGAACTTATTTTTCTTGGTAGAAATGATCAGTTAAGAGTTCAGTGCTTTTCTTTTTAGTTACATCTTGCTCACCTGTTTTCCATTGTGTGCTTAAAAAAAAGAAAAGATGAGATGTTTTTCTTCACTGGGAACATACAGGGAAATTGCAGGTTCTACTGATTCAAACTAAGAGCATTGCTAGTCTCATTTTATGTTATCTAAGTTATTATAATAAAACTGCATCTATTTCCATATCAGCATTCGGAACCACTAAACACACCTTAAAATGTGTTTCAATAAACCTGCAGTCCTGGGTGGGCATTAATGAACTGAAGTAACAGTGCTATTACATTCCAGCAATCCATTTTTCTTCTTACTGGCTCACTTGCAGAACTGTAACACCTCTGTCACCCTACATTTTTGTTTGTAAAGGTGACATCCTTTTGAAGTAGTTATGGAAATGCTTTACAGTTATAACTGTGTGAAGTAATGGCAGGATGTAGGTGAAAAGTGTAACTTTTTTATTTTCTAGATTTTATGTCCAATACTCAGTTGTTAGAGATGAGCAACTGTTGTAAATAAAATTCTCTGTGTCAGGAGCTGCTTTCTCAGTCTGAAGTGATGCAATGACCAGTGCTATTCTCAAAACCGTGTTTTGGAAATAACAGTTAAATGCAGTTTTGGGTCTTGCACTTTATGCCAAAGTAGAACTCAAAAGTGTAATTTGTGTTCTTATATAGTTAACGGTTCTGGGAACATTAAAGGCAGAGGTTCAGTGTTACTGCCTTCATTCATTACTTCATATCTTTTGGTTATGGAGGGAAGGCTGCAACATCTGTAAAGGAAATTTCAAAATACTTGGGTTTTAAGGTACACTGTTACTGCAGAATAGTTTGTTTTCTGATTTCATTCCTTGTTTTTCATGAAAAATTATTTGCTGTCTGTGAGAACAGGTAAGCTCCATAGGTTAGGTTAGCTGCACGTCTTTGGGTAAAAATGCCTCTTTCAGAAAAAATACTTTGATTTTTCCTTTAGTTATTTTTCCCCTGTAGCATGATGTGAAATTGCTTTGCAGTGTGTGTTTGAAGAAGTATTCAGTCTGCTTGTCTCTTAACTGTTTATGTTTTGGGTCTTCTCTGTTCAAAAAAATGAACTCAAAGTAGAATTTAGGATGAGGAAAAAATGAGCAAAAATCATGAGAGGAAAACCGGACTAGATTAGTTTTTTCAGTTCTAACAGCAACAAGAACAAAATATCCAAGAGCATGATATAAAAGGAAAAGGTTGCAATCTGCATGTCAAAGGGATAAAATCCCAATAAATTTGTAGAGAGATCTGAATTAAAGGACATCTCATACACAAGAAGAGTGATGCATTTACTACTCAGGGATATGCTTAACCTTTGCTTTCTGAGAAGTTTCTGAAAGTGATGAAGTTATAGGTAGTGGAAGTGCTGGGGAACTGGGAACACATATTCTGATGAAATAGAACTGTTTGCAAGAAACATCTGATTTTAAGCCTGTGGCTTTGTTTATTAGCTTTTTATTAATAAGTTTGATAGCAATTAGGCCAGTCACTCAGGTTTTTTGATGTAGGGTGTTTCAATAAAAGAAAAGAGCTGAGATCTTGTGCTGTGAAAGTCAGTATTAAATGTTGTACTTGTGAAATGGAAAATAAATGGGGCCAAGTGTACACTGGCTTTTTGCACTTGGGTAAATACACAGTCTATCATGCAGCATTTTTAGAAGACATGAAATAGATTAATAAAAAAGGTATTATTTAGATATGTAGAACTTAGAGAGTCGGGTTTTCCATGGTTATCTGAGCTGAAGATTAGATCACCTGTAGGTTTTAACTGGTTTAGGCTGCATGGTTCAAATTTGAGGAACTTTGTTCCTGTAGCACATAACTTTTGTTTTCCCCCAAAGGAGAACAGCTCAGTGTTTGTATCCTTTATTTCAGCAGCTTTCCCATTTAAACACATTCCCTGCTATTTTTCAATACATTATGTTTGCATATACTACCAACAAGAAGTTCTAAGGTAGGAATAAGGGCAGATCTTTCCTCTACCCGTTTAGCATTCATGTAATGCTAGCTTTGTTTAAACCTTTGCATCTGTTTATTTCAGTGTTTGAATTCTTGTGAAAATAGTTGTGGCATAGTCCAAGAAACTGGAAACATGATTTCATATAATTGTTCTTTTAAGTAACAGCATGAAATAATTAGTATGGCATACTTGAATTGGTGGCATCCTGTTGACTTTTAATAAAAGCAGGGAATGCAAGTTACTATAACCTAGTGCTGTCATCTTTCAGTGAAAGAAAATGCAGCTCTGTTGTATATTTAATGGCAGATCCAATATGTAATAGGTGCTTTGCTTGTATTTTTTTATTTATTTTTATTTGTACCAAATATCCCCTTGAGAAGGATTTTTGACAGGAAAATTACAGGATTCATGCCCACTCTAAGATTTGTTTGTAATTGAAGCTGCTTCTTTTTGATAAAACGTAAATGCAGCGTAAATAACTAGGCTAAAAGGAATGAAAGATGTTTTATTTTTTTTAAATAAAATAAAAATAAAATTCTGTAGATACATAGAAAGATTGTAACTTGGCTGCCCTTCAGGCAGTTTAAATGCATGGTTAGTGCTCAATATGTGCCAAATCAACTACTTGGGCAACTTTTGTCAAGCAATTTAATGAAATTTCCTGAATAAATGTTACTTTATAAAATTCTTGGATAAAACAAAATATTTCAGTGGATGTTTCTGTCATTTTAACTTATATAATGTTACCCAGCAATTAAATTATACATATATATGAAATTCCTGGAGTTTCCTGAGGACTTTTTCCCTGAGAGTTTTGAGTCTCAGTTTTCAAGAAAGTTTAGAGGTCAGTCTTTACATTTTCATTATCTACAGTACTTGAAGTTAGTGTACAGTGACTTGAAAGTTACTATGGAAAGCATGCAGTACAATATATTTGAAAGTGGTATTTCATTTATTTGTGGTCTGGGCCAGGCTGATAGGAGCAATAGGAGGATTGTGCTGCATTGTGTGCTGGTTGGCTAGAATAGTCTCTGAAAACACAGACATGGTACATACTAGCATATGTGCAAACTTTGGTTTTTAAAACAATTCTTAATTATCTTTAAACATTTTACATTAAACATGGATTTTTGTTTCAGGAGCGACTTAAACCAGTTCATTTTAGCTCTCTAGTGTGTTGTTACTGTGCCTTTCTTTGTGAGATATGCAAGAAGTAAAAATGTGAATAAAATAAGGTTTTTATCCCTGTTTAGGCATTTTTGCATTAGAGAGATCTAAAATTGGTCACCCTAATTGTGAGGCTGGCATTATTGCATGGAGGGCTTTTCACAAAGCTGTGTGTAAAAGTTAAGGAGTAGACATGAATGCAGTTTGCCATGACTGAGATGCACTCTCAGGGCAAACAAAAGTATATTATGGACTTTTGCTATCTTTCCTCAGATGACTAAATAGTAGTGTTATTACTGTTTTGAGTTAATTTGTATTTATTGATCAGTAATGTTAATACAAAACTATCTTCTTTTACTGCATACAGAATGCAAGCATATTTAGTGTAGTCAAACCATACACTTCAGAGGTGGGGGAAGGTGTGGCTAATGCTAGCTGATTAGTGTGACATTTAATTTGCATTGATTATCTTCCATTGAAGGAAATGTGAATTTTTTACATGAAGATTTACATTTTAGAATATTTTTATTTTATATATATATTAAAAAGATAAATTACATGCAAACACAGATATTGTATAGATTGTGAAAACAGCTCTCTCTGGGGCTATCCTCTCCTTGTCTCTTTCCCTCTATTAATCTGGAGTGAATAGACCTTGTATTTCTTTCTGGTGCTTCACAGCTGTTCAAAACCCGTGTTATTAATGTTAATAAAGTATCTTGGCATCTAAAAGTTTAATAATGGGAAACAGGTGACCCGAGAGACTAATTTTATCCATGGCAAAGTTGTGTATCAAAAAAAGAAAGACAAGGAAATTAATATTTAAAAAAAAAAAAAAAAAAGGTGATTTTAAGACTGAAAGTTTTGGTAGCTGCTTATTCCTAATTTGGGATTCTGGAGTACCCAGGTGATTACTGTATTCTTCTGTGGTAGATATCTGTCCAGGCTATGATAGGTTTTTTCATGCCAATCCACACACACAGCTTGCTGTGTGGATCAATTTAAAATTGAATGTGTTTCTAGAAGAGTATGTTGTTTGCTTGTGACTTTTCTTTTATCCCCGCTACTGTTGTCTCACATTGTATTAGAGTTCCAGGTTGGCGACAGTAAACACTTTATAATGTAAAAAGTTGCCTTTTTTTACCCTTATACAAGAAATGTAAGAAGCACTCAGGCACTCCAGGCATTTGTACCTCTGTGGTACTTCTTAACAACTGGCTGAGAAGAGCTAATATTACAAGTAAAACAAAGCAACTTGGTGGGTACTGGAGGTGTTAGACTTAGTCTGTAGAAACTGCATGAATTGATGGGCTTTCTGAGAGGTTGAATGAGGCTGACTAGGACTTGGTGTTAGAGCAGTATTGCTTTTGCTGTTAGAGATGGCCTGGTTTCTATAGAGTATCTGTAGAGTTAGTTTTCCGTAATTCTGCAGATACATTTGCACCTCTGTCTACATTTATGTACATGAATAGATCAATATAAAAATGTATGTGATTTAGGAACATGGCAATTTAGTTCACTAATACAGGTCACCTGTTGAAAAAATACTTTTGAATCTATTAATTTGAGAGAAACTTGGACACAGTGGAGTGTATTGAGGTGCTTTTTTTTTGTTTTCTTTCACTTTTGAAAGTTGTTATTAGCTGTTCTTATTAAATCCTGTAAAGTGGGATAATGGTTATGCAGCTGTTTTGCAAAACATGGTGATTGTCTGTACCTGGCAACAGTCTCCTAAGAAAATTTTGCCTTTTTGTCTTGCAGGCTCCCGTCTTCGACAAGAGGATTTCCCACCTCGAATTGTCGAACACCCTTCTGATCTAATTGTTTCCAAAGGAGAACCAGCAACTTTAAACTGTAAAGCAGAAGGCAGGCCAACCCCCACCATTGAGTGGTACAAGGGTGGTGAAAGAGTGGAAACAGACAAGGATGATCCGCGATCCCACCGCATGCTGCTGCCCAGCGGATCTTTATTTTTCTTACGCATAGTCCATGGGCGCAAGAGTAGGCCTGATGAAGGTGTCTATGTCTGTGTGGCAAGGAATTACCTTGGGGAAGCTGTAAGTCATAATGCATCACTGGAGGTAGCAAGTAAGTACTTGTTTTTTCCACTCTTTGGTAACAGCCATTTGCTTTGATGTTATTTGAAGGTAAATATTGTGAGCTACCTCTGAGTCATTGACTTAAAAAAACAATGAAGGAATTAATGTGGGTAACTATTATTAATACAGAAATAGCAAAATAGAAAAGCAGTCAGAAGAGGTATATTACTGTAGAAATTGAGATCTTTTGGTGTGTTCTTACTACTTTTACACTTTCATGCAATTATGATGTTTATTAGATTTTGTATACTTAATTTTAATTTATAGAGGTTTTTTCCTCTCCAAAGAGCCATGCAAAATGAACTGTGTAATAAGAAGTAGGATAGCCAGGATCTGATCTTATAGGGTATATTTGGAATGTTGTTGCACAAGTAAACACAGAAAAAATGATGACACATTTAGAAACAAAATATTTCATTATATTTTTCTCTAAAAGAAGTAGCTCACAAATTATCTCTCTAGTTCTAAGTATTCAGCCAACAGAAGGAATGGTCAAGTATGTTCACAACACTTTGTAATGCTTATCTCTTCCTGTATGCCCTTTAAACTCTACTTATTTTAAAGGAAGAGAATGTACATGAAAGGGTTTTAAGCGTTCATATGGAGGGCCAACTGCAGGTCAAAAAATACTAATTTTGGGGTACTGAAGTATGAGAGGAAACTTTGCCATTCAAAAGTTAGGTATCTATTTTAAGTTGCTTTTGTAGACTTCCTCTGTAAGCCGTAGCAATTTGTCTGGTGTCACGTTGAAAAGCCAGCTCAGAGCTGGATGAGCTTTTCTCTGTAAACACTGGTCTCTCCGACTAAGTTTCTAACTTTTGGACAAGTTAATAAATGCTACCCTTGGTGTATAACTTTAGAAGAATGGCTAGATTTTCATAACTCTCACAAAAGACAAAGGAAATAGCCTATAAATTTATGCATTTGCTTGAGTCGTTTGCCAATTCTCGCCCACATTCTCAGAAAATCCCAAGGATGTTCATCATCCTTGTGCCAGAAGGATCTCAAACATCACACACAGTACAGTAATACATAGGATTAAGATCTATGACCAGACTGTTTCCTTTTTACTGCTCTCAGTGATAAAAGTAATTAGTGTCTGGTTAGCTGGAACTATGCTTACTCACTAAGTGTGTGAGCTGTTTAAATTATCTGTTGATTGGTTACTCCCAAGTGTTATCTCCAGTATCTCTTGTAGGTGTATTTTTGAGTGGGCATTAAAGTTAAAGAGTTTTTTCTCATTGCTGTTGTTTACTTTATTGCACTGCTTGTTGATACTTAAAATTATTTTTAATGTTCTGTCCATGCAGCACAGTATACAAATGGACAGTTGTGCTTGTTTCTTTTGTGAAGTACCATGAAGTAGTGTTTGAAATGCTTATAGTGACTTTTCCATAATTTTTCATAAAAACCCAGAAATGTGAGGTCAACTTCAGTGATTGGTATGCTATGACATGCATGAATTTAACTGGTATATAGTTGCTGAATGTGTTTGTGACCTCTGTCACAAGTCATTTTTGTGTGATTGCAGTGGAATCTGACTGCCAGGGTCTGAAAGCAAAATATTGATACCACCAAACATTTTTTTAAGAGCTTCTGCCAACACTCAAGACAAAAATAAAACATTATTATCTCCTTAAAGGGGTTCAAATGTACAATGTCTAACAATAGTATAGCATTAAATTGTTAATCCACCTCAAAATTACCCTCATATTGAGGACTAGTGTCAGAAAATAAACACCAATGATGCTGTACAGGAAAAAAGAATAATCACAATCTTTATTTGAAAAGTTTTTTAGACATAATGGTATATAGTTTTAATTGTATACCACTAGATTATAGACAGAGAATGCTTACAGCAGAGGCTATGATTTTAATAAAAAAGTTAGTGATGTCACAGTGCAAAAGCACCAAAACACTTTAAATAGCACAGAAGAGGTGAGGAACAAGAAAACAATTGAAGGCTGGTAGAATAAATTTGCATTAAATTAAAAATCTGCACTATAGCTGTAATGCTGTCAGCATTATAAACTTAGTTACATTCACAGTGGGCTGTTGCAAATCTGCAAACCAAAGTTCTTGATACACCTGTTTTTGAGCACTACAGCATTTACATTTGTATACATGTAGTCATGTACAATTGCTGTTTAATGAATCTTTGTTTAATTTTTTTATGTTTACAGAGTAAAATTGCCTTTATTTAGTTTCCTTTTGCAAAGCACAGAAGATCATTTAGAGTACTCATTTAGTTACACGCTTTGATGCTGAAAGTTTAATCAGAGAACTTTTGTGAAATGTAGAAGGCAAAAGCATGTTTTGTCCTGTAATTGCTAGCTTTCTCTGGAAGCAGCAGCTCCTTTTTGCACCAGTTTGTTTCATAATATGGTAGGGGATTAGTCACAAATTTTTCTTCCATCACCTCTTATAGCAAGAGCTTGTTCCTTCACTGCTCAGTGGATGTGTAGATTTGACTTCAGATCCAGGTTAATAATAAAACGTTGCTTGGTTTCATCTTTATTTGAAACATTATTCTCACAGATTTTCTGAATGGAGACTTGCTGTATTTGTTTGAACTTAATTTGAAGTGGAAGAAGGTTTCAGTATGGTAGCCCAGAAAGGGTGTCAGGTAACTGTCTGTAGTCATCCTTCAGACTTAAGTTGCTACAAGATTTGCCTCTGTCTTCCTGACTTCCTGAACTCAGCCTTTTGATCACTGGAGATATACTTAAATTAGCTCCCTGTTTTGTTTTTGAGGAATGTAACTAGTTTCAGATTACTGTCTAGCAGTGACACATTCTCCAGTGGTGAAAGGTCCTGAGGAACGTGAAAAAGGGCATGTCCCTGTCAAAGCAGAACTGGTTAATTTTCTCCATAAATGTCAACTTTTATAGGTGGGAGTACAAAATGGAACCATATTTGATCCTCATAATAAGGGCTGGAGACTGTTTTGGCTATCACACAAACAGTTGTAAAATGAAAGTTGTTTTTCACAGTAGAGAAGTAGAAGCAGTTTTGGAAAAGTGGAAAGTTACCCATTAGCAAACTGGAAAGTGGCTGCAGCTGCTTCATATGCTTCAATTTCTCAGGATTGTTCATCACAACCACATTCAGTTATTGGTGTGTGATAGTTTGAGTCAGTGTTTAATTTTTTCTTCTTCTCCAGTTACACTTTTTTCTGAGGAAAATTTTATGTCTGGATTTTGTAGGTGTCTGTTATGTAGCATTAAGTAGAAACCTACCCATATCAAGAGTGGCAACAATAGCTGCAGGGGTATATTAATCTGTCTTTCTCCATTCTGAAGCTTCTGAGGATGTGAAGAAAAATAAAATGCAAATTAACTTGGTTCTGGTCAGTAGCTTTGTGAATCTTTATTTCAAATCGTGCTTCTCCGTGAACTTCTTTCTTATTTGCCATCAAAGTTCTAGGTGAATTTTATCACATTTCCGTTTCCATTGATACATAGATTTGCTTCTCAAGAGCTTTTACAAGAGAGATTGTGAAGTGTGTACACATCCACATCATCTTTAACCTCAGTAATAGAGTATCTTAAAATAAGTAGGCTGTTGCATATAAAAGTTTTCTTACTTTTTTTTTTTTTTTTCCAGTTACAATGGATAGTACTTAGATACTTCCTATATTAGATCCCAGGAACATCCCAGTTATAGACTCGCTACGTTGAGACTTTAAAAATAAACAAATAAACCTTCCATAGCAAAGGATTGGTATGGAAAGTAACAGCTCTCTCGTACTCAGTGGTTCTAAAAAATTAATATCCTTTTTATGGTGAGAAGTCCTATTTCTTTGTGTATTGTTTTCATCATATGTTCAGTCTGATGGTGTTACGTCAGTGAACATACCCTCCTGACTGCCATTGTACAGCATCAGCATTTTAAGCCAAGTTGAAATTAGTGAAGATTTGCAGATTTTGTTACCTGACATGTTCGTATCTTACTGATAAACAAGTGGCTTAATTTGAATGCTTATGTGCATATATAGCAACGACAAATCTCAGTTTTACAGTAATCTTATTAAGCTCCTAAAAGACTAGTGAAACTATGCCATTGCTTACCACAAGCAATGGCATTAACAGAAGTTGCTTGAGGCATAGAAGGCTTAATAGTAGTGGTGTTGCTAATGCTTCTTAAAACCTACCAATGATAAATTGGCTTTTACTATGCAGCTGTGAGAAGCACTGAAAACCTAAATTACTATAAACTGAAGCATATCTTAGTAAAAGATGTCAAGTAATTTAGGAGAAATTTCTTTGCAGTGAGGTCAAAGTTACATGCAAATGTACTGCTTTTTATAATGTAGTTAGCTGTGCTTGAGGAAAGAAAGAATAATTACTTTAGTGACTTTAACAAGTTTGTGTATATTACTTTCCTCTTATGTTACAGTCAGTTGAAGAACATGGAGAGTTTGTATGTCAGTGTAGTCCTTTAAGTCCCCGCCTGATTTTTAAAGATACATGGATCCTTCTGTTTACTTTACTAATCAACTCTAGTAACTGCCTGATTTTTAAAGATTTCTGTTTACTTTACTAATCAACTCTAGTAACTGGAGCTAACTGTCACTGTGAAGAATAGTACTGTTGCCTCCCTAAAAGTTTGGGAAATTAACCTTACATTTTATTCTTTCTACTTTTTTTTTTTTCTTCATTAAATGAAAATAGTGTTGTCACATACTGAGTTAGATCTAATGAGAATAGCAGATGCTTTACAAACCTACCACATTTTAAAGAAGGCTTACTCAGTTGTGTTTAATTTAATCTATAAAAAGAGTGAAAGCAGAGTGAAAGGTAAGTAATTTATCTTTATTTCTTGTTATATTTCTCTAACAAAGTAGTGTTGGTTTATGCTCATATTTTATATAAAAATGTATACTCTGTGCACCTTCTTGAAATTCTAACATGAATCACCAAACAAAAAAGGAGATAGGGAAGTGAGGCTGCACAGAAATCTAGCAGGGCAGCAAATGGAAATGGTGAA